TTTAAAATTATCGATAGAAAATACTTAACGGTAAACATCTCATTCTATGACTTTTTTTTAGTAAGCATAACACTATAACATAGCATATGTAAAATAAAAAAGTAAAATTTTATATCAAAATAATTCAAAATACTTATACGCACATTTAGGAAATATAATAGATTTATACACTTCTATACCCCATATCATAATAGATACGTGCACTCTCACATGGCACATCATAATATATACGTACACTCTCATACTATATAACATAATATATATGAGCACTCCCACATAGCACGTCATAGCATATACATGCATTGCACATTGTAATATATTTTTGCACTCTCATACTGTACGCCATCATATATACATGCATATAATTTATTTTCATCTTAATTCATATATTTTTGTGCTTATAAAATATATACATTCATATTTAGTTAATGTCTAGCTAATGACAATCATATCATTTGAAACATACTTTATAAAATGCATTATGAGTACAATAACTTATACGACCACTATTTTATAGTGAATTAAACTTATGCTTATTTGATTTACTCAAAATGAAGATGTTTGTAAAAGATCACATACCTTAATAATAGAGTCTGTTAAAGAGTAGTACACCTATCAGATTGGGAGCATAGGGTAATGAGATGTATTAATTAAGAATACTACCTCATGAATTATTGATTTATAATAATTCATAACAATAATTCATAGAAATTTTTTTATAAAATTTCTAATAAAATACACTATACTTAACCTAAAAATTAATCTGAATTTTATTAATAATTTTTTAAATAATTTATATTATAATTAATGAACTATTTAATATCACTCAAATCATCGCATGATTTTACAAAAAAAATTTACTTTACTATTTTAGGTGATCAAACGATCTTAAACTATCATAAAATTTTATAAAAACCAAAAGACGTATTTTACTCAATTCTCAATTTTTAGCTTAAAATAGAATCATTTGAAGACTAAACTACCCTCTTAATTCACGACCAACCTATTATGTTGTGTTAAAATTGGATTGAGACTATCTAAACTTATAAACTTCATATCTTGGTACATAGAGACGGTATTCACTCAATTCTAAATCTCACATAACCTTAAGAAATTTTTTTAAAACATATCAAAAGAATAAAGTTTAATCATATCGCTAAGGAGGTCAATTCAGCACTAATGAAACATAGATATCATAAATTATATTACTAAGTGATGATAATATATTATATATTATTTATACTTATGCTAGTTGTAATTTAATATGTATGAGACTTGGGTACTATAATAAATACAACATTATCCAATTCTATACAAAATCAAACCTATGT